CCGGTGCCGGGAAGGGGGATGCTGGGCCGGCTGCTGCTGGGCCTGTGAGGGAGCTCGCTCGGTGCCAGAACAGGGCATTCGCTGTGAGAGGGTCTGTGAGTACGTAGTTGCTGTAAAATCGGGGGCTGGTCTGGACGGCCCCAGGACGAGTGAGACGAGGTTCCTATGGTTTGCACCCGTGCTGGTGCATGGGAAGAAATTTTCCTTTCTAAAGTATGCCACTTACTTTTAGGGTATATTTAGTTGTCTCTGGAGTAGAAACATAATCTTAAACCGATCTTACTGTGTCTGAGACAGGCTTCTACCCGTGTGCTGAATGGTGGTGTGTACCTCAGGGCATCAGCAGGGCTGCCGAAGCTGGCGTGTTCGTACGCAGAGCTGCCTGCTGGCCGTGTGCTGGGGTTCCTTCGCAGCCACGGCGTCCTTCTGCCGTGACGTTAGCCAGCGGGCTCGGGAGGTTGGTGCTGGTGCTCTCTGCGGCGGGTCCCCTGCTGCCGTGCTGCTGGGTCATCTGTCCCGAGGAGCGGACCGAGCTGCAGCTTTCTCTCCAAGCAGAAAAAAAGAGGCTTAGGGAGCTAAAAGGATGCACAGCGAAAAATGTTAAAAAAAGAAAAGTGTGTATAGTAGTTGGTTTACTACTCTTGCAGACAGTACGTATTCTACGTGCAGAGAAGTACGTACACAGAAGTATTCTGTATATGCTTCTGTAAGTGTTCTGCACTAAGGTCTGTCTTTTTCATGGTCTTCTATGTTGCAAAACAATTTGTTACCATAGAGACAAAAATAGTTCAAAGCTTTTATCTTTGCCAAGAATCAATTAAACAGAATCATACTAGACAGGGCAGCCTGGTGTGTCTTTAGTCAGGTAGCAAAGTGCATCTTACGTACATCTTACTGTAGTTAGCTTTACTTGCTCGTTAGACTTACTAGCTTAAATTTTATAACACTGCAGCATCATATCACGGCTGCTTTGATGATCTATATACTAAAATTGGAGTGATACAGAGAAGACTCGCGTGGCTTCTGCTCAAGGAAGATGCAAACCTGTTTGTAGCACTGTAGAGAGGACTTTTTTGAGCCTGTGGCTCATATGAATGGAGACGCCTTCCCTGATGTAGTTGAACTTGATGTTTCCTGTGTCCAACAGGTTTTGTATGAGCTATTACCCCAGTTTTGAAAAATACCCATGCTTTTGCATGTGTTTGTGTTTAGGACTGGAAATAAGGGGTGGATTAAAGTAGGTGTCTTCATGTTTTCCTGAAAGAGACCTCATGAAGTATCTTCAGTTTCCTCCCTGATGAGAGAAGACATATCTACCTTGGCTTCTTAATTGTCCGACATACTCAGTGTCTGTTGTCAGCTATGGAATGTTGTCTTGTTTAATGGTACCTGGTACTTATAATGTTCACATGCTTTTAGTGCTTTGTGATAATACTGAGTGACTTGCTCATATGTTACTTGTGCAGGTGACTATTACATGGTTAAGAAACTCTTAGAGGAAAACAGCTCGGGCGAAATGAACATAAATTGTGTGGATGTGCTTGGACGAAATGCTGTTACCATAACTATTGAAAATGAAAACTTGGACATATTACAGCTTCTTTTGGATTACGGCTGCCAGGTATACAACATAGAAGTTACTGAAAATTTTCAGTGTAGTTGTTGATCTGTGTGTTCTACTCTTTATACATCTTCTCTGTTAATCTGTCGGAAATTGGAAGGAAATAGAATCTTTGTAGGCACTTCAGTTCTTTTTCCAGTTAGTAATTGTGCAAGTGTTTTCTTCTCACTAATTTACTTTTCTTGTGGGATTTTATTGGCATGGCGAATGTATAGTAACATTTTAAATGATATTAACAAGTCTGAATTTTATTTTAAATGTTAATCCTGTTGTAGAGATAATGTATATGTTATCTTCAAGCGAAATAAACAGTATATAGTCAGAGTGCATCATATTAAAAAGTGTAGAATGTAATATTAGTCACTTACAAAATGGTAGCACAGTTAGAAAAATGCACATTATAATAGATGAATTTCAATTAAGGCAGCCATGCATTTCTGCAGTGCTTGCTTGTTCAGCTTGATCTGTGCTTGATGGCAGTGGCAGTTTCATACCAGCAATACTTCTTTAACTATATGCAACATCTCTGCTGCTGCTGGGAGAGTTCTAGCTATGATGGCTGAAATGTGTAAGACAGGGAAAATTAGTATCTTTTGTTAGGTTGTTTGATATTGGACAGAACAAAACCAACAAGCTTTTCCCTCCCTGGATCTCCTTTTTAGTGACGATAATAAAAGCTGTACTTTTTTCT